TTATTTCATTTGCATACATATCCTTATTAAAATGCAATGTGAATCAGGCGATTATTGACAGAAGAAATTACACGAGTCATGATTACAACAGCTACACTACAAGGTAAAAAGTAGAACCACATGAGCGTTTACAAAGTAAGATACCATGTTGAAAACTGAGAATGAAGTATATTGCCTTTACCCGACCCACTGCCCCTCATAAAATTCTGAATAACATTAAAGAAATTCAGTGAACTGACATTCCAAAAAGCAATACAGAACCCAACGGGACTGAATGTAGTGCATATTTTCTGAAACATTGAAGTTGTTTGGTGTAAATCTAATTTATCAAGTTACCAAAACCTAAAATACAATGAAACTTCAGATAATTTTACAACTTCAACAGAAGACATCACAAGAGACTAAAAAAGAATTGTTTATAACTTCCTCTCTTAAAATAAAGTACAAAAGTAACTGAAGAAAAAGTTGACATTCCCTTTGTCAAGGATCTCTAGTGTTCATTCCATGTTGCCAAACATAAACAGTTTATCAATTCCTCTCTTAGCATAAAGTACATAAAAGTAAAAGAAGAAAAAGTTTGACTTTCCCTTTATCAAGGAGCTCTAGGGTCCATTCCATGTTGCCAAACATAAACAAGTTCATCCCATCCTGTACTAGCCAATAGACCTTCAACGAGAACGCTCATATCAACTCCTACAGCAAACTCTGTGTGATGATCATACCTCCCAATAAGTGCATCTTCCACCATGTAATCCCACATGCAAACTGTCATGTCATATGAACAAGAAACCATTGCACTCGCTCTATGTGGTGAAAACCTCACTTTCCTCACTGCATATCCATGCCCATTAAGCACTGCTATTGGCACTCTATAATTCCTAATATCCCAAACCTTGATTGACTTATCAACTGACGCAGTTGCAATGATACAATCATCATACTTATTCCAATCACATGTGAGGATTTCAAACTCGTGTGCAGGCAGAATCATGGTAGAACCTTCACAAATCACGAATCATATGAGTTGAAATTACAATGATTTAAATGAATACTCATCCACACAGAAACACAATTGAGTGTGGCTAGACCTTTTTCCTTGGATGATTAAAATGTGTACTTCCATCAACTTCTATACAAACTTCAACACTCAAATTATGATCTTGCAATAACTCAACTAATACAAACTTCAGCACTCAAGTAGTAAGATTCTTAACAAATAACAAATCAATCATTTGAATCAAAAACTAGTCAAATTAATCATTTTTCTTAGGTATGATCACCCAAATACATCTCTATATGAACAAAAAGATCAATGAAGCTAACCTGGCTCCCGGACATCCCAGATGCGAGTAGTACAATCCCCAGAAGCAGATGCAAAGATATCAGCATGTCTTGGATTCCAAGCAGCGGAATACACACAATAAGCATGTTCTTTAAAAGTCCTTACACTAGCATTTCTATCAACTGTCCATAGCTTCACAGTATCATCCCAAGATGCTGATAAAAAGGAATCTTTTCTCACCGTATTATAGTCTACAGAGTGAACTTCCCGTGTATGCTCTTGAAAGGAACGAATCGGGTTATTGGTGGGAGGCAAAGAAATGTCATAGAGTTTCACAGAACCATCTCCGCTTGCTGCGATTACAAGGGAATCGTGAGCTTCCGACCAACAAACGTCGTAAACTCCATCAGCTGTGTCAAATGCAGCAAGTTCCGATATGGGTCCGTTTGGACTGAGCTGAAGTATGTGAACTCTGCCGTTACCAAGGATGCCGAAATTCTGCGCAGTGGCGACGGCGAGTTGATTTTCGTAAAAGGGGCTAAATTTTACGGAGTAACCGTTAAACGGAGTTTTGAACATCGGCGTTGGACGGTGGTTGCCGGCAATTTGGTTATTGGGGATTATAACCTTGGTGTAACTTTTTCTGATTTGGAATAGGAAATTATATTTAAAAACTCCTCCTTTATTTGTGATATAAATAAATAAATTAGTTCAAAATAGTCTTTTAATATCAATTGAACATTTTTGACCCTTTTAAGTATGAATATTTCGATTTTACTATTATAAATAGGTTATGAATATTTTGATTCTATTGTTATAAATAAGTTATGAGGACGATATTTTTAGGAGGAGGAAATTTTTTGAATTATGCATTATCATTGAAAGTTAGGTACTATCATCAGAATAGAATTTCTGTTGGGCGAAATTTGGTAATGATATCTTTATTTTAGGTACTATCATTAGAATAGAATTACCGCAAGAGATATTTTGTCTAAGCAAAAATTTATAAATGATACAATTAATAAGGTATATTATCATTAGAATAGAATTCCTGCAAAAGGTATCTTGTCTAGGTAAACTTTTGTAAATGATACCTTTATTTTCGTGTCTTTCGGCTACTTAATCACCTACTTTGATTTTACATTTTAGTAAAATATATATATGAATCATTTCGAAATTATAATTAGAACCACCCTTTTTCTGGATCCACCTCACACCAATAATCCGACCCCTGTCACTTAAAGGTAATTTTAGATCAGTTTCTTTTGAAATAGATATGTGAATACCAAGTATAGCTCGTAACAATCTATCTTTCGGGGCATATGAAGAATCTTTCACGACTTGGGGTGTTAATTTACCAACTAAAATATCACCCGACTTAATCAAAGGTTTAATTTATCCTCTTTCATCTTAATATTTTTAGTTATTATATTTACTTTTATTGTTGTTATTATCATTATTCCCATCTAGTTATGAGTAGCTAAATATCATAACTAGGGTTACGGAATTTAGAGTAAGGATAAGGATAATGGATTCTTAACAATAAAATTTTCTCATGAAGGGTGAACATTATATTAAGATTCTTTCAAAAATATTTTGCAAACATAAAGAATTCATTTGTATTTTGATTTACTTGACAAAAAAAAGTGAACACTAGAAAAAAGACCATTAACATGGATTTGAGACTATCAACTCATATCTAATAGCTTGAGCTAGAGATAGGATAACTAACTTGAGGCATATAATGATGAACAAATTAATTCGAAATCTAAGAGGCGAGGACTTAGATGATATACTCTTAATTGGGCCTAGAAGTTTTAGGAGTCTAATAGATTTCTTAGTTTTGCACAATAAACATACATGAATGAGTTGATAGTAAAGTATTTGTTTGAATTTCGATATATAAGAATTATAACTCTAGTTCGTTTTTTATTCTTAGTTACGGATACTATAGTATAATTTAGTTAATAAGTTTTTTTTTATAATCTTAAATTAAAATAGTAGTCATTAGTTTGAATTTCATTCACAAATTATAAAGTTTCGTCTCCACACTTTTTGTGGTATTCGATCCCAACCTACATAATTGGGTTACTATAATTTGACACTGACCAGTTTAATGAGTGATAGAAGTGACTTATTTTAAATAACTTTTGACATTATTCTTAAGCACCCTCTTTTAGGTTGAAAAAAATGAAAATACAAAAATTGATCAAAAAATGAATATTCTCAACTTATAATTTTTAACTTTTAGCTTAAGCTACTTTGAAATTCATACTTACAATATCTTTCTTATAAAAAAAAATAGAAAGTAAATAATATTTATATATTTATTTAATGGATCATAAAAGCCGGAAAAGTTTTTATCATACCACAACGATTAAAGAAAATAAAATTTTAAACTTTATTAATGAACATATTAATCTCGTATACTATGTGTGTTATTGAATTAAAATAGGTAACTTAACTAATTAATACTTAAATTTCGTAAAGTTGAGATAAAATAAAAATATATATCGGTGTTTAATTGTATGATAAGATAAAACCTAAGATAATATAATATAATAGTCACAAAAAAGAATTAAATTAAAAGTTAAAGTTATAAAATGTTTTTATTTTCAATTTTCTCTATGTCAACCTTACATAATCTTCTTAAATAATTTACTTAGGGATACATTAACCAAAAAAAAGTTACTTAGGTATATAAAAATCATAGGTAATAATTACCAACAAGATTTTTTCATTGAATTTTGTTTGTAGAGTAGAAATATCGGCAGGAAATTAGATTATTTGCAATTTATTGTTGTATAATATCCATATATATTCTCACGTAATTTCGAATATATATTGGAACAAACACGTGTACCCAAAAAAGGGAACTATTTACAAACAGTTACCCTCATACCCTTTTTTAACGACTATTTTCACGTTTAGTGTTTGATACCATCAAAGTATATATATACTCTAATGGTATCAAAAGAGGGGTTTTAACTACTAATACGCATTTACTATTTGATAACATTAAAGTATATATATGCTCTGATGGTGTCAAAGAAGAAAGAAATAATGCTTCAGTGAAAACACTACTCAATTACTCCTTGATACATTTAGAGTATATATATACTTTGATGACATTATGAAAGAAGCAACGGTAAGAGGAGCAGTCAGATAAATAGTATGGGATGTATATACAATTTTCAAAACATGAGTGATAATAAAAAAAAATATGATATAAAATTTAAGCACCAAAAAGAGATTCACAAAGTATACAAATTCCTTCTTAATAAGCTAATTATTTTGTAAAAACTAATTAACATGATTATAATTTTGATTAAGTGAATTAAATAAGTCTATTATTAAAAAGAACGAGGCTTAAATAACACGACATGCCAACTAGAAGAGAAGAAGACTTTTGAAGTGTTTAATATTTTATAAGGAAAATAGTGATAGTTGAATAATATTTATATACTAAATGAAATAGAAGTGATATTTGAATGGTGACCATTTAGGTAATTAACACAAGGAGTATTTATAACACTTGGATAATTCCCGTTGAATTAAAATTCCCATCATTCTATGTTTTACAAGAACTATAGAGTGGAACTCAACCCATCATGAGGTTTATAACACTAGAGGTACAAAATAAAAAGAGGTCAATCAGTTCAACTGAAACCCAGCCTACCAAACTCCAAAGTTCAAAGTTCAAATCATAATCATGTTCCACCTACCATTTGTTACTTTTATGTCAAAAATGGAGTACAGAAAAGGTAAACAGAAGAAGAAACTATCAGATAAATGTGAACTATGGTCAGGACAAGTAACAAAACTTGAAGGCTGTCCAACTTGATGTTCGCAAAAAGTTGGAAATTTGGAGGGAAGAATTTTGATTCAGCAGCACCGGCAGAAGAGTACATAGAGTCTGGTCAATTCAGCTCATAGTGCAAGCACCTCAAGTTCCCTAAAAACCAGGAGGAGCCACCACCAACTGCAACAACTCGTGATTTCCTCGCTTTGAAATATCTGAGCATTGAACAGGCCATATAGAAGACTTATCATGTATCCAGGGTTCTTGAGGTGATTGGTAACGTCCAAGGTACTAAATCTTCTGCAGAACACTGTTGACTGGCTCTTGTAAGTATTGCAGAGAAATCAAGATGGCTTCCTGTTTGTGTTAAAGGTTGGAAGTACAATTAGTCGACACTCGACACCTCCACTGGTAGCAAAAGAGTTGCTCTGATGTAGAAACTTGAGATAACATACACATACAAAAAGGCCGGAATAAGTACCTCTGTTCGAATTGTCCTGCTTCCTTGATGTGGACATGTATTCAAATATAAATCAAATACCTCCTTCGCACTTTTCCCCTAAACAGTAGAAAATCAAGTCAGTAGCAGCAGCTCATCTTCATCTACTCCCACTACACACTTGTAATTTCTATTACTAGAACTCTAGCAGTTCATGTCATGGAATATCAGAATGATAAAATATGGTCTCTTAACTCTATATACATGCTCCAAGTTGATCCAAGAGTAAATAAGAGGAAGTGCAAATTAGGAGACAGTCACAGAAACTACAACTTGCCATAGAAAAAATGTTTCTATTTTCAGTAAGTTAAAAGGATATTATTTAGAAAAATCTAAACAAAATAACACCTATATACTTGGTTTCATCATACAGATTCAAACACTTGGAGACTTGGCAAGTCCCCATTAAAGAAGTTAGCATAAATAGTACCTTTAAGTTATTGTCTTCTTCTATACACTCCTCCAACCCCGCCAGTCCACCAAAAGCAATTAGCAGGTGCCTAAAGATTAAGACAAACCAAGACAAAATCCAACAGCATTAGTAGATAAAACACAAAATATAAAACCAATGATAACATCAAGGTGATTTAGAAAAACATGGAGCAATTATGCATTTCTATTTGATGTGTTGATATACAAGAGATCAATATGAATGTTAAAGATATGAACACAGTTTATAACTCAAAGATATCTATGAACAGTTAAGAAATGAATATTGCGCCTAACTCAATTTGTGAAGCTACCCCATGAGGTGAAGATTTCCCAATGCATATAAGGAGACAACAACAACCCAAACCCTCAAGCAATATTGGACACTCTAACACACAAAAGCCGCACGCCCATGGCAGGACCATCTGGAATATGGACCACGTTACATAAGATCCCAACATACATTGGGTAAACCAAGAATAGGGATGAATCTGACCCCAATACCTTGTTAAAAATATAGACCTTGAACCTATCTCAACTCCAAAAGCTAGCTCATGAGGTGAGAGGAGACAACCTATAACCGTCACACGATCTTGGACACTCTAACAAGAACAGTTACCAGGATTGAAGAAAAGGATCCTGGTTGCAGAGCTCGATAAGTTTTAAGTTGTGAATTGGTAACACACCCACCCATCCCCCCTCAAAAAAAGGGAACATATAAATAGAGAAATAGAAGAGGATAAATTTTAATAGAAAAGATTCGGGTTATGACTTAATTTAAAAGGTCAATATGGCAGACCTATTTGAGTTGCAAAAGAGCCCAAAACAAACATACAGAAGTAGTAAATGTCCTGCAGTGAAAATTCCGCATAACACAAATGGCATTTTAAGACATTTTCTCTGCTACAAGTCCATAAAGTGGAGTTATAGGTTCTCACTTTCTTTTCCTGGAAGTTGTTGCTGTGAAATGGCTTGGGTTTCCACATGGTCAAAATGCATTTAAATTAGCATTATCCAATAAAAAGTGAGATGGAAGTGCTTTCCAAAAATCATCTTGGGGTCTAGGAACATACTGATTATCCATTGCAGAACAACAGGAGGGTGACTACTAATTGAAAATTAGTACTGTAACAAAAGGGGGGTGACTATTTGCACACACAAATATCACAAACGACTATTGAAACATACCTGAATGATGGGAGAGTCAAATCTGAGGACTTCATTACAAGACCATGCTCGGAGGTACCAATCAAGTGATCATACCCTCCCTAATCAAACAAGAGATGTTACACAGTAACTATTTATGCATTACTTCTCAAAAAGGGGTTGAACACAAAACCCAAATACCTTGTATGGGCAATTCTTGAATACAGAACTGATATTTGGAGCATATCGTACTTTATATCCCCAATACATCCCTGCATCCTCCATAGGTGTTGAAGAAGAGACAACCTGATGTGGTATGCCTGAGAATTGAAATGTGGAATTGTAAACTTAAATAACTAACAGTCATGTTAAGTAAATAAAAACAGTTCATGTGGCAGTCTTTTGGGTATGAGACGGTTCTCTGGAAATATTACTATTTGCATTCTTGGTTGGTAAATAAAGTATCATGTAAGCGACTTCAATAAGTATGAGAACTCAAGGATTTTGTTACATTACAGCACATTGTGTTGGGGTTTAACTATAAACTATATTGAAGTCTACAAACATTGAGAAGGTGCCCTTTCAAACATCATATATCCGTGTCGGAGAAAATGAGAGAAAAAAATGTACAAATAAAAGAGAGTGAGAAGAGAACAGGTATGTACCAAAAAATCAACAACGCAAAAACAGATTTCATTCAATCAGATAACTTCATCAATACTTCCTAGCCCTAGGTAGTCAAAATAGGGTTAAAATTGGAAATTAAAGTAATAACTACTGCTGAGAGGAAAGCAAGATATACAGCTATAAACGTTGTATAATTCTGATAAAAACCTGCATCCAAATTTCTCTCTGCTCCCATGGATACTGTCACCCTTATTCCTGGGGCAATGACTTGATCAACTGCAACAGGCTGCAAAGTACTAGCAATGTGAACTGTTGGCCAACTCACCCAAACTTATAATTATAATAAAATATACCAGCAATATTTCAATTTCTTGTTTTATCTTTTTTTTTATACAAGATCAACTCTTGTTTATCAAGACTACCGACATCAGCAAAATGCTTTTGGGATGCAGCAGTAGTAGTTTACTCGAAGAGAAAATAAAATCCCAACATGTTATTAATGACAAATAGAACATTTGGTTTTCAAGTGAGAATCCATCTCATCAGCGAGTACGAAAATAGAGGGGCAGCAACAGCCTTTGAAAAACAAAGGGCAAAGGAAAGAGCAATGAACACTGCATGCAGAGGCCCCAATCTGATCATACAGTGTTTCAACTTCATGATTGAACACCTGACCATGTGTTCCTTAAAGAGTGATAAAGAATCTATACTGAGCTTCACATTCATTAAAAAGTGATCAAAAAATCTACACTTAGTTTCACATTAAGCAGGTGATCAAACCACATTGGCGGTCCATGATCCCACTTTTCTAGCAAACTTACTATTTTGAAAAGAAAAAGAGCTTGGGAATGGTAAAGTTCTACTTTTTGAAAGCAAATGAAAATCAATAAATGGAAAAATAATAACAATACCTCACAGGTTCTCTCTATTTTCTTTTTCATAATCCATATCTCAATACCATTTTACCAGTATCTTCAAACTCCATTCCAGGTCAAGTTGTTCTCCTTCATATCTAAAGCCCATCTTATCAATATTTCATTAACACAATGATTACAGAGGGAGCATTATAAATTCCCCGACAAACCAATCGCGTCCTGGGAAAAAATCCACATACTATTTTTTTTTTGGGTAACTAACTGCCCAGTTACTATGTTGTACAAGAGATTCCTAGCATCTTGCAGAAATAGTATGTAATGTAGAATTTGAAGAAGAGTATTTGACTTTCATTATTTTTGTTTCTTTGTTTTAATTAGAGTCTTTGCCAGTTACAGATTATTTTTATAACACCCAATCTCGAGAACATGAAACAGAAAAATACAAGAGTAGCTCCAATTGTATTACTGTTGCAAAGTCTGCAAAAGAGATATTCTTATTTCATTTGCATACATATGCTTCTTAACATGCAATGTGAATAAGGCAATTCTTGACAGGAGAAATTAAACGAGTCATGGTAACAACAGCTATACTACAAGGAAAAAAGTAGCAGCCACATGAGCGTTATACAAAGTAAGACAGCATGTTGACAATGAGAATGAAATACCTTACTAAGCCCAACGTCAACAAGTGTTCCCCCAGATGTTAAATTTCGATCCTTTAGTGTGACACCTAGAAACAGAAAAAAGATGTCTCAAGGCATCACCCATCCATCAAGAATGTCAAGTTGATATTTAGATCATCACACAACATGATCAACAAAGAGGATATAACAAGATAACAAAAGCATTTGAGCAATTTTGGAATAGAAAATGGCTACAAAAGAACAAGAAGGATAATTTAATTGACAGAAGAAAATCAGACATATTTGAACATGTAATGTGAGATTCGAATTGTCAAACAGCCATTACATTTAACTAGCCATCTAGATCTTTGTGTCCATTTAACAGATAGGTGCAAACTTTTTTTAGATCAGGTAAGGATACGTGCAAAGTTAGAGCATCAGTAACATGAATTTTTCAACAGAACTTACCTGAAGTTCAGCGATCAAGTGTAAGCCATCATATGCAGCAAACTTTGCACCATAATCCATAAACCATATATTTTTTAAAACAAATCAGAAAAATGTTTGGTTTTGTAAGATTTTGATAGTCTTCTAGAATTTTTGGATTTCAAATCTTATATTTAGGTAACTATACAAAACAATTACCACTACAACCTCAACCCCAAACTAGATAACTATTTTTTGGTCAAAATACATTAACTAATACAGTATATAGGTGCAAAGTTATAGCATCAGTTCAGTAAATTTTCAACAGGACCTACCTGAAGTTCAGAGATCAAGTGTAAGCCATCATATGCAACAAACTTTGCACCATCACTATTTATTGTATGTAATAAATATAGATATTTTTGAAGTATGAACCAAAGCCATAGAAGGATGTTTAAGTGGAAAGAATCCAAATCCACCAATAACTCTATCAAACGCTATTGCAATAGACAGAGACAAGTACATGCACACAGCCATGTAAGCATCATTATTTACATAGAGGATTATAGGTCAAAGGACAGGCCATCACTTTTATGTATGATCATACTCTTGCAAAAAACAACTAAATTAAGAAGCACAAAAAAATATTAGCATACTTGTATCAATACCATCTGAATCGCACCCTTGCTAAACCAATGGTAAAACTTATGTGTGCCAGACCTCCCCCACGGAGGATGCTGGGAAATGGAAATCAAGATATTGATATTCTGAGCTTTTAAAAGGAGAGAAACATTGAATATAAGTTTTATTTTGCAATTCTCTTGTAGAAATCAAAAGTTTGAAGTTGTAGCAGTTCAAGGAAAATTGAGGATGAGCTTATAAAGATAATAGTGACACGTGTTCATTATAGGAAATTTTAGTAAAAACGATAGAAGTGATTGAGTGCAAGATCCTTTTAGTTCTTTTTCGGAATGAGCTAGAGTTTGCCTGGCATGCAAATGATAAGGGTATTCTTTAGGATGCTACCTTCTCGATAGGGAGCCCATTCATGCTTCCGCAAATGATGTGGAGCATCAAGTGGTGGCAACGAACCCTGAAGACAACAGTACATTTGAGATCAGAAATCACGAAATTTATTAAATTTAAGCCTGTTTAGTTTGGATAACTTTGCTGAACTGAATTAGTAAACCTCGTCAAAACAGTGTTGTCTTTTTATCAGTAAAATAGTGTTAATCAAAACTGTTGTTGGTTTACTGTACGAAAATAAATCAAATAGCCAAGTCTCTGAGCTAATAACTGAGCACCCGACTGGTACTGAATTAAATAAATCCACCTACACCATAGCCAATCTTTTTTTAGAAAGGTAAATATGTTATGCAGCACTAAGAATGTACCAGAATATGTACAAGTGAGCAAATCACTAGAAAAGAAATGGAACTAGATTTTTTATATCCAACCCAATCAAACTCTTAGGAATTGACATTTCATCATAATTTCAAACAGCTATCCTCACCACATATCTTAAGTTGTTGTGCATGGGGAAAAGACTCTTCCGAAGGTATTGAGGTGTCTCCATATACTTCAAAATCCTGAAAAGAAATGCAGCACCACTTTCATCATCATGTGACCCATCCTCCATCGTCGGATCTGAACAGTCCACTGAACTACCTATGTTGTCAAATACAACAACCTGTCCAAGAAAAAAACCTTCCAACTCATTTCTGCACTCAAAATAGCAATTAATTTATCTCTTTTGACAACTGAAGCTGTTGGAGAGTTTGCATTGTATGCATGTGTTCAAACACATAAGTATAATGTCCACATACTGAAAGCAACACCAATCTCATACTAAAGGTTCACCCAAAAAAATCAACACATGATCAAATGAATAGCTTGTAAATATGAGCACCTCATCTATCCGAAAAATGGTGGAAGCACGAGCAATCTGGCCAGCCAACTGCCCAAATAAGAAAAGAAAGATAATAAGTAATAAGACGATGAGTAAAACAATAAAAAATGACCTGAATAATAAACACCCATAACTTGCACAAATAATAAGTATTCTATGACCCAAGGGTGGTCACTAAAGAGGGTCGAGAACTATGAGGTCTCAGGTTCAACTCCAAGCAGAGACAAAAGCCTTAGATGATTTATTTCCATCCGTCCTGACCTTGGTGGACATAGCTAAAGTTACTAGCGGGAGGTGGCAGATATCCTATATAATTGGTCCGCATGCAAGCTAGCGCAGACACCACAGGTCATCTAAAAAAAAGTAATCTATGCGTTTATCAGTTCAAACTTGCAGTGACTTGGCATTGGTCATCCTCAAACCCAGATAAAGGAGGTGGTATGCAGCACTAGAACTAGTAAAATGGCTGGAATTCAATTAATAGGGATGTGATCATCTGGACAGGTCCAAATAGAGTGGGATAGCTACAAATTAAGATAAATTGTGAGTTGTGACAAGTTGTGAAACAGCAGTGGAATGGATAAGTATGATTCATATAACGTATGAGAACTAGTCTGGGATGGAAGCACAGTTATTGTGAGCATTAAATATTTTAAAGAAATCCAATGAGAAAGAGTAGTATAAAGAAAGTTACCCGTGTTGCGAGTTCGAGTGACTGAGTGTTGTCAATGATAGATCCGGCGAGTGCTACGGAAACTGTGGGTTTTTCCTTTAACACACTTTCTTCCTTCACCTCTTTGGTTTTCTTCTTCTTTATCTTCTTAGAATCCCCATTCGCAATATGGAGATCATTTTGCTCATTGATGGTCTCTGTATTCAGGAGTTCCGATTCTGCTTCTCGTTCGGCTCTCTTCTTCTTCTTCCCCATTTCTGCACGAAGAGAGGGTTTAGGGTTTTAGTTGAACGGCTGCAATTTATGTTACCACCAAAAAAACTAAATTACTACAACTTGTTTTTTTAGTAGGTGGTTTGGTGAATGCGATATCATATCACAATATAAAAATAGTATTTGGATTTGCAATTTTAATTTCATTTTATTATTAAATGGAATTTTATATTCTCCAAAAATTATAATTTAGGAATTTCATATCATGATTTGAGATTTCAAAAACAAAACTTAACCTACAAGTTTATATTTTGTTAAAATAACTTTACATTTGTATCTACTAGCCATTTATTTCATAAGTAAGTAAAATTTATAATCATATCATTACTTCTTAAAATTTATTATTCTCATCAACATAAAATTTACTATTATTTTAAATCAATTCTTACTTAATCATTTATATTCATCAAATTCATTATTTTATATCAAATTTATTTATCAACCAAATTTACCACTACTACTTTAGGGTGTGTTTGGTATGAAAGAAAACATTTTTCAATTTTCTCATGTTTGGTTTGGTAAAATGTTTTCCAAATCAACTCATTTTCCTCAAATTTAAGGAAAATGTATTTTCTTCAAAAATTAAGGAAAATATTTTCTAAAACTTTCCTCCAACTTCAATTACAATTCTTTTTAGAAAAAAATCAATTTTTTTTGTTTAAAAAAAGTAAATTAAAAGCTTATTTTTAAAAAATATTTATCAACTTCAATTTTTTTATTTTTTTACCCCACCTTCACCCCGACCTCCACCCCTTCCCGCCAGCCCCTACCACTCCCTCCCCCCCCCCCCCCCCCCAAAAAAATAAAAATAAATTAAAGTTTGTTTTTAAAAAATATTTTCAATTTTCAATTTTTATTTTCACCCCAACCCCAACACCCCCCCCCCCCAAAATAATAAATTTAAAGTCTGTTTTTAAAAAAATACTTTCAAATTCAAATTTTTCGCCCCCACCCCACCCCTCCGACCCAAAAAATAATAAATTTAAAGTTTATTTTTAAAAAATACTTTCAATTTTTGTTTTTCACCCCCACCCCCCCCCCCCACCCCCAAAAAAAAATATTAGTTTGTTTTTAAAAAAAAAAAATTCAAATTTTTATTATTTTTACAACCCATCTCACCCCTCCCCCCCTGCCAGCCCCACCCCACCCCAAAAAAAATTAAGTTTATTTTTTAAAAAAAATCAATTCAAAAATTATTTTCTACTCTCTAGTAAAAATAAAAGATATTTTCTCAAAAAAAAATTTTATTCATAAATCAAACACTAAAAAATTTTTCCGAAAAATATTTTCTACTCACCAACCAAACATGAGAAAATAAGTCCAAAATGTACTTGTTTTCCAGGAAAACATTTTCCTTCATACCAAACACACCGTTAATGTTTAATAAAACATTATTTTCCATCTATATTGAGTGAACAAAACTAACCACAATGATTTGTAATAATTTATTATGCGATTTTATAAGTTTTTGTTTATTTGGTAAGATTGAATAAATAATTGAGACTATTTTAATAGTTTTACAACTTATGAGATTCTTATGTTTATGAGAAAATATACAACACAAAAATTTCATATCGCATGTCCAAACAAAACTTCAACTCCATCTCATGATTTCAATTTTGATCCTGTATTATTCAGTTTATTTTACCTTCAATTAATCTGAATGTGTACATTTAACCTCCGTTAAGTTTAATAGGTTTAAAGACCAAAATGACACATTTAAGTTAATTAAAGGCTAAATATACATAATAGAGAAAAATATCGACCAAAACGTCATAACTCAATAATACGTACCCAATGAAATCCCATGAGTAGAGTCTGAGGAGGGTAGAGTATACCCAGACCTCACCCTGTCTGGTGGAGATAAAGAGGTTGTTTACGAAAGACACTTTGGCTCGATAAGTAACGTCATAACCCAATGACCAAAATATTCATTTTCCAATCAAAATTGTTAACATCGCGGAGTTGTTTGGTACATAAGATAAGGATACTAATCTCATAAAAAATTTGAATTAACTTTATCCCATATTTGGTTTGAGGTATTAGCTAATCCCGAAATTATTTCATCCCACTCTTTGTACTAAAACAATGGGGAAAATGTCATCACATATAGAAGGGGAATAGAAATAATATCACCTTGGGGAAAATGTCACATATAGAAGGGGAATAGAAATAATCTCGCATTGCTTATCTCATCCTACGTACCAAACAACCCCTATGAGTTCTATTTCTTCTACATTAAAAAGTAGTCCAATAAATTTTAAAACGCTGGACATCTAATCATGTTTCATTGTGAGAATCTTAAAAAGTTGTTTTTTTTTTTGTTTTCAGAGTGAAAATGATATTTGAAAATTGTTAAATGTTTGCTTTTCACACTTATACATTTGACCCTGAAACTACTCTTTCAAGTTATACAGAATCTGCAAACTGGCATTTGGATCCAAAAATATTCATATTCATCTTTCTATCTGATCGAAATAAATAAGGGTCACCATTGTTGAAGTTTGAGAATGTACAGACTACAGAGCTGAGAATTACATAAATATTAACATAAGGTTAGATCGAAAAGAAAAAAAAAATCAGAGAACTAATCTTCAATATTTTTTTTTCATTTTTTAAAAAAGATAATCAACCATATATTTATCACTGTAAAATACTAGAGATATGAAGTAAATCCTATGAATCAAGTTTACAAGAAAGAATTCTATGGGCGTTGTCGAAATCTAAGAAAATTATTGAAGTGTTGTCTTTTGTACGCAATGTTTTGGCCTCGCTCAACAAAGAATTTGCTATTTTCTCTGCAGAAATTTCTTCCTCTGTTGAGATTCTCTCCTTTGCCTGCAATTTTTGAACATTGGTTAAGCTATAAATTTGATAAGAATATTATATGCATGAACCACCAAAATGTTTTATATACCTGTTGGACTAGTTGAATTGCCTTCTTAACATTAACAACATCCCAGAAGCCATCACTGGAAGAACAAAGTTAAAGCAAGTTTTAAGCCAAACGACGTCAAGCATAGCAGAACAGCAAATGACAAGAAAGTAACATATACTCCGCTATTTTTTATTTTTTTTTATTGAGATAACCGCGGTGCCCGCGTCAGCTTACACGCACCTCGACTAATTCCATGGGATACCTATCACCTCCCACCAGCAACAGGTAACTCTGTCTACCAAAGCTAGGACAGATGGGTAGAACTCACCTAGTGTTTATTTGTTATCGCTAGGATTTGAACCTAAGACTTCATGGTTCTTAGCTGTCACCTTGGGTGCAACTCTGCTGTGGTTTCTAACACTGGGTATACCTAATATTGGGCCATACTGGATAAAATGGAAACCAAATACAATATCAGTATCTATGGTAAATGCAAGACAACTACTTGGATTATGCTGTAGGTATCAAAATAAGGATGTGAGTATCTGATATAGGTAGGTGCAGTTCCTTTTACTAATCTTTAGCATGTTTTGAGGAATCTGGAAGAAATTTACTTATCGATGTCCTATCCCATTAGACACAAGCATGTTAAGGCAAACCATATAAAATAGATAACATGATGAAGGAAAACCTACTGGACAGTTTATTTTTTTTCTTTAATTTCAGTAGAGGGTGGATGGGGAAATGAGAAGGAAAATCAGGATAAAAGGGAGAAAGAAACAGCTCTGTAGCAATACATGAGATGACATCAAATTACCTAGCTAACAGTGCGAATCCTTTGCTAGCTTGATGTATGTACACAACTTGACTAATATAAGGTTCTGAACTGAAGCGAACATCTTGCTGTTTAAGAAATTTGTCTCCGAGCATACGAGCAAGGTTTAAACCTAGTTAAGAGCAAGCAAATCAATTGCTGGTTGAATTAATATACAGGGGATACAAGCACAACAGAAACAAAAGATTCTACTCACCACATAGTCTCGTTTCCCCATCTTTTAAAGGCTCCCCTGTTGCTTGGATACGCAGCCTTTCAGAGTGACTAGTTATTCTGTGATCTTCAGTCATTTTTGTCTGCTTCCCGTCAATACTGACTCAAACAAAAACAGAACAAAGAGTTTAAGCCAAGTTATATTACATATGTCTCTAAATTCCCCCACCTTCCGTGGAATGAGTTGACAAGGTATGGCATCAAGAAAACTTGTAGCACATATAACATATCACTACGGCCTAGTACCTACAAATATGTACTATCAATCAATCAAATACTAATCCTAAACTAGTTAGATCAGCCATATAATTTCTAGTCATCCGTGCGGTTTATTTGGACCTATTTATTCTAATACTAAAAATCTGTTTTATAAGGTAAAGAGTGATGCTCTAAAGGTAGAGGTTCTCTAAATTGCACACTATCTCTAAACTAACAATGTCTTCGATAACAATGTTGCTTGCGCCAATTTATTTACACGTCTACTTATACCAATACAGATATCAGGTAAATATACCCAACAAAACATAGGCAGATGGGGGGAAAATCAACTAGTTTTATAAAAAAATAATTAAAAAGGTAGTTTAATTAATATTTCCTTTGTTGGGACTCAAACTCTGATCTCCCATACTCTTCCTTCCAGCTTTATTGATCGCTAGACCACACCAAGTGTCAAAGAATGACAAAAGTCTCACATTGGTGGTTCATGAGATAGGTGGACTCCTTTTAAGGCTTGGGCAATCCTTCTCCCTTGGAGCTAACTTTTGGGATGTGAGTTAGGCCTAAGACCTAATTTAACATGGTATCAAAGTAAGGCCCATCTCACTCAATGTTGGAGCCCCAAAAATCAAAATTGCCTACGCGCCAAATGCTAAGCATTGGGCGTGAGGTGGGGTGTCAAAGAATGACAAAAGTCTCACATTGGTGGTTAATGAGATGGGTGGACTCCTTATAAGGCTTGGGCAATCCTCCTCCCTTTGAGCTAGCTATTGGGGTGTGAATTAAGCCTAAGACCTAATTTAACACTAAGTTAACATAAAAGTGTCATAACAGTAAAAATTCTCATGAGAAAAGTGGATTCCATGCAAGAAACAACCATTAAATCTTAACCCTAATTAGCTGGTACTGTATGTGTAGATTCTTTGTTCAAATTGTGTAGTTTTCTTGCGCTTTAACGTTCATATAGGGTATGGTGAAACCATTTACCCATACTATTCCTATTTAATCCTCTATGCATGTTGTATACACCTTTTGTCAGATGAGATCATCTAATCTTGTATGATTGTACGCCCATTTTCACATCCGCATTTTTACGACAATCATTTGATGAATATGTTGGGCTATACAGGCCCAATATCTACACTTATATTTTGGTCTCGCAACAATTTATGAAGAAATTTTCCAAACCACATATTCCAATCATAAGGCCAAGTTAGAACTACAACATATTAACAGAAAATTGGTTTATGTTCTCGTAACATTGCAAACTATTAAAGCTGGGAGCGAACTTCACCACCTATAGATATTAGTTATTTTCTTGATGAAAAAAAGTTACATCATACCAATTCAAGGCATAAATCTCAAAAATTGGATATAGTAGTTTGAAGTTCTAGTCGTCTGAACAGAGCAATTGAGGAGATAAAACTATGATAACTATAGAAAATAGTACAAATGACTTCCTTAGCAAGTAAGTAGAACATACACGGACAATCCAGACCTAAGACAGTATTTGCACAACTACTTTATCTGCGGACCAGTGTATCTTTATTTTTAGTGACAGTGTTCAATTACATCCACCTTCAACTAATTGTGGGGCAGCCAAATAGTAAATCTGCACACGAAAGATGGGGGCCATGGAGCAGATGAGCTGACACTCACATTGAATGTTGTAGCTGGGATTCAAATATGCAATCTCCAGGTTGTTATTCCTATGTCTCAACCACTCAGATTCAGTCTCCCCACCCCATCCCAAGACAAACCAACCAATATATCTTAGCATTGGATTAGAGTATTAATAAATAATTATACTAACCATTCAAAGAACATTACACTACAGATGGATAAATCTGAGGAGTTTTCCAACAGAAGGGGTATTTAAACAAAAAGGCTGGCAACAGACCATGCAAAGAAAATAAGATCATTATTAAATACAAGACAAGAATGAAGAACATCAAAAGCAGCCAAATGCCATATTGAAATGCAGCCATGTATTTAATAGTTAACAAATGAAATTACTGATGGAAGTGTGATTGACGCACTTTACAACACAAGCTGAATCTCCAACGTTTGCACATTGCGCATAAAAATTCCCATCACCATCAGCCCAAACCAGAAGCACTGTTGCAGTACATCCCTGACAGATTTGTTGAAGCAATAAGGAAAATGTTAGTTAAATCTAACAAACTAAAACCTATAACAGCTTTCGCTCCTCCAAAGTAAGAGCATGTAAGTCTAACACTGATGTGCAGCATGAACTTAATAATCAAATAATTAAGACAAGAAACATGAGAACAAGGGAAATCTGCACCAGCACATGGATAATGCATATCAATAACTTGATACACACAGAGACACAACTTACATACTTGCAAGTTGCAACACACCAAGAGATAAAGCTTTAATCAGGTGAATAATGCATATAAGATTTACAAATTAAGTCTAGGTAAAAACCTCATAGTGGTGGTCTATACTTGCTTCTGTTTGAGAGAATGCCTCTCTAAGAACATCTGAAGCATCAGATTGTGATAATACCCTCTCCCTTCTATATGAATCTGACAGGATGCTAGCAACCATCTGAGGCATTATTCTGTATAAGGACAACAAAAACCACAAAGATAAAATTAGCACACAGGAGTGATGAAGAATTTACGAACTAGCAAAGACCAAATAGCAATGCATTCAGGAAATTCAACTAAAGATTTAATTTTTAAAGTTCATTCCTTATTTTCAATGACTAAAGAAGATGTGCTATCATCCAGAATATAGAATATTTCGCAACACATTTTCTCCATAATCCAAGAAAATTACAGCTTATATCATTGGCAGAAAATCAAAATTGCTTTGTGACTGGTAAATGATGAAAATATCATGCATGATCTGTGTCAAGATTACCTTTTAATTTTAGTGGTGGAGCTGCCTAACGTACTGCCTTTTTTATATAAATATTACATAACATAGCGATTATAACTCACTTGCTGACAGATGCCGCAGCATCTGCTCCTCCGTGTCCGTCGCATATCCCAAACAATCCAAACTACAATGTCAAATATACAAATCTTTTGGTCATTATATTTTTGCCAGAAAACAATATAAACCTTCCAATTGTAAAACCTTATCCGTTCCCGGAAGAGGCCAATGGTAATAGCAAACATCTTCCATAGGCAGCTTCTTTCCTCCTCGACGTACGGCCATGGCATCTGATGCTATACCAATCCCAAATGGGACCTGATCATTTTGGGATCTAATATGTACCTGGAATCAAAAAATCACATGACAATTAGCACCTACATACACGCCTGCAATCAAACACTAATTATTTGTCACATTTGTTACCCTTTTTTTAAGGTACTTATCACCAATTTTCTATTTTGGTTTTTCTGGGAGACATGTAAACTTTTCTGAAATGCCACCCATTTAAACAGTTTAATGACTTAAATTAAGCATTTCATGATTAATTCACTCCAATATACTAGGTTTTTTTTTTGAACAGGTAACTCCAATACACTAGGTTTTCCACCCAAATATTAACAGTAGGTGGCTTGAAGAATCACGGTTGCTCATTGACACTCTTAAGTCTATACAATTGTAAACACATACTATACCAGAATATTATTCATCTTCCTACTACTTCCTCCCTATCCAAAAGAACTAAAATGGGTTACAAGGGCAAACCCGACTAACTTTGGTCTAGATTTAGGTATTGAATGATTTCTTTTTTATAATTGGTATTGAACAATTTACATTTTTGATAATAAAACAAGTAAATTTTGAGCTGTGTAAAAAGACATCCAAAAAAAGAAGCTAGAATCTTAAAATATCAACTGAAGTCAAAAGAGGATGGGTTCACTCTCCAAAATGTCAGTAGGTGAATCTTCCTGCAAGGAAGTTGGTTAAACTTGTTAGGAATCACTCCTTCTCGCTCTATCCTTAACTCATTTGTTTCATTTAGTCGGGCTTTTATTCCTCTATAGGCCATACAGTACAATCAACTTTCTGGAAATACCAGATATTGCTTTTTAACAAAGAACATATACATATTACAAAACATTTTTTGGATAAACAGTTATATCCACGTCAGCATTTGCACACACCTCGAGTAACTCAATGGATATCTGCTACCTCTCAGCAATGATAACTATGTGAACCAAGACTTGAGCAAATGCAAAAAAATTCAAATAGTGTCGCCTCTGCTGGGATAAAACCTTGGTTCCAAGGCTGTGACTGCACCTTTTTGACCACTAGGATAAGTAAGAGTAAGACAGACACAGACACTACAAGTTTAGCCAGCGAGATAAGAGTGAAGTTGAGGTGAGACAAATATTGAGGTAGCTAAATGTAGATATATTAGTTTTCTAGGTTCAATGTTCCTAAAGAATGGAACGATAGATAAAGATGTTACACATAAGATTAAAGTAGGATGCTTGATATGTGTCTCAGAAGTATTAGGTGATAGGAAGAGTGAATGTTGCGGCTCTTAAGCTCATTATATCCACAAGATGAGTGTTGCAGAGATGCGAATACTCAGATGGATATGCGGTCATACAAGATTAGATAAGATCATGAATGATCACATCCATATAAGGTGCCAACACATATAAATGGGAAAATTCTTGAGCTGGTTCAGCCACATGTTACGTAGGCCTCTAGATGCACACGGGTTCTTACATGTGAAAAGATGATTGAAGGTGTAAAAAGAGGAAGAGTTAGACCTAAAATCACATGGAAAGAATTATCTCAATATATTTAGGTTTTCTCTAAATACAGGCAGATCGCAAAATCTAGAAAACAATGGAAGTTGAAATCGGTATATGTGATAACAAAAAGAAGACTACTGCTTATGAGAAGACTCTTACGGTGTGTTTGGTACAGAGGGAACATTTTCTAGCAAATGCTTTCCAATTTTCCTAAGTATGGTTCCAAACATTTTCTCTAGGCAAACAAGTTCCTTAAAATGAGGAAAATGACTTCCCAAATGGAAGTAAGGAAAACAATCGTGTAAGTGCATTCCAAGTTTATTGTCTCCTCTCCACCCACCCAATCCCCCTAACCCTCACCCCTTGATCATACCCCCCTCCTGCCACCCCTGAACCCCCACTCCCCATCCCTACCCACCTCCATAATGTTTTGATAGATAACATAAAGAACTCTTGGAAAATAATTTCTTGCTGACTTACCAAACACTAGATAATATGAAAAAAAAAAAACACTTATTTTCCAAGAAAAGAGTTTCTAGGAAATCAATTTCCGTGGAAAACATTTTCCTTCATACCAAACACACCCCAAGTATTTTAAAGATATGAGCACTAACTAGAGTATATTAGAGAACTCCAGTGTTGCATAATCTTTAAGTACTTAGCATGATATATTTTGGACCCAAACAGAACATTTATGATATCATTCACACCGCCGACTGCATCTAGCTAGGGATTGAGGGGAAGTCCTTGTATTAGATCAACTTTTTTATATTGAAAACCCATGCTAGGACTCATACCTTGCATTTGTATCATGCTAAAAGATTACTTCAATCCTAACCTTTACCTTATCAAAAAAAAATAAAAAAAATTACTTCAATCCCTTCTGAAATCCTACTTTCTTATTCACCTTGTCATGATTGGTTTCAACTCTCATTTAATCAGGAGAGATCAAATTATCTATGTTTCAGTAGAATAAAGAGCAAACTGTAATTTCCATGATCGATCTGTAGCTCAATCCTTATTTTAATACCTATAGCAGTTAGAACATTCAACATTCTGTTCAAATGAAAAGAACCAATTTGGTTTCTTCATGTGAAATATAGTTTTGGAAAAGAACTTAAAGGCTTCATCAACTTCTATCACCCTCCATTCCTTTTTTAGTTGCTCTTTGGGAACCCCGCACCCTACATCATACAAGTTTACCAGCACCCCCTGAAAACGAACTTCTCAACCCAATACAAAAGCTGCTCAGATCACCACTAACTTGCAAGGGGTAGATTTAGAGCAAGGAGATGGAGGGACAGAGCATGATAGAAATGCTGGACAGATAACATCAATGAGGGAAGCCATGGTGAGAGCACAAAAATGGTGTTTCAAGGAGGTTATATATCTGGCAATTCTGCCTTGGAAGCTTATATGGAAGGTTAAAATACCATATAAAGTGGTAGTTTTTACTTGGTTGGTGGTGAAAGAGGCTATACTTACACAAGAGAATCTTATGAAGAGGGGAATACAGTTGTGCCCAAGATGTTGTTTTCTTTATGGGGGTGACAGGGAGGATGCTCGAGCCAGGGTGTTCATTAGTGTCATTGAGTTTCACTTCTTGCTGGTGCTCTTTGACTGTAGGTATACTTTGTTTTCATAGCAACTCCTTGGTCATCAATTTTGCAACAAATAAATTCTAATAACTTTTCAAATAGCCAGCCTTGAATATAGTTATACATGGAAGTATTAGAAAGCAAAGATACTCTGTTAAAGTTGATGCCCTTTATTTAGTGGGGAGGATCACCAAGGAATTGTTTGTCTATTTATTCATTTATTTTGTGGGAGAGGGATGAGTCCATCATCAAATGAAGAACCTTAACATAGTGACAGCAGCACAAAGCCCATTCACTTACAAATATTCTTGAAGTTGTGCCAAGTGTTATTATGTCTCCATTTGCAAGCTCAATTGGATCGCCCCACTGTCTGCTCCCAGAATGAGGATTATGCACAGCATTGGAATTTACTAGTGTGCCATTCAAGCTACCCATGTCAACCAGCTCCCACCTCAATTTCTGAAACAATAGAAGTGAAATGTGTCTTCTATTTTATTTTCTTTTGCAAATTAATAACTAAGAAACAATACAACATGTTAATAACATCTGCCAAGATCCATAAGAATCCCTAATTTTCAATGGACATACATTTATATTCCAGTTTATCATAGCATGCTTGCCAGAAACCTCTGAATCCATCACCAAGATATCACTAGGTGTCACTCTTCCAAGAGTAAGTGGAAGCCTAGATGTATCTGTTGACTGCATGGAATGTTGAAGACCTTGACAGGGTCCTGAGATAACCTCCAGCATGAGGATGCTTCCTGCACTTCTAAAAGGAAAATATGATGACACTATTTACACACACTTCAAATCAAAAGAGTGTAAAGAACATCAAGCACTTGTCACAGTGATAGAAGAAATTACTTTGATCTTTTGTATCTTTTGGAGCAAAATCTCCGAACTTCTCGTTCTGTATTGCCAAATTCGGTCTGTACTTTACATCCTCTGGTCTGATGTGTTTCTGTTCTTCTGCTAACTGATTAAACACAAGTGGGCGCTTAAGCGTCTGGCCAACAGAAATATCTTCTGAAGAATCACAAACATCCAGAACAAAACTGTCGGCTGGAAAAAGCATTGAAGTTATGAACTATACGGAATAAAAAGCCAATGAACAAGAAAGGAAGGTGTTATATACTATGTGTTAATTGAGGATTTATGGAGGTCAGCCTTTGTTTATGAACAAGTCCTTGTGTCCAGGGTGAACCATAAGCCCCTTGATTCTGGTGACCGCCTGCATCATGAGCATAACCTCTAGAATATTCATGACTCTGGCTTTCAACTAGATGCAAATCATCTGAAATAAGAGGCCTCTCTATATCTTCACCCTACATAAAATATGAAAAATAGCAATTTCAAGAGAATGAACCATAAAGGGGTGGGGAAGGAAGAGTCAAACTTATACTTTACAAACATGAATGATGAAACAACAACTAGGAAGATATTAACGTAACCACAGAATACGTAGTAGCTCCAGTAGCATCCTTTGAAAGCTATTTCATATCAGACAGAGAGTCAAAAGTAACATACTCTTGCATAGGAACAAGATAGTCCACAACCTACATTGATGGTCTTTTTGTTTGTTTGTTTTGGGGGGTTAGCAGTTTAGTAAGTACAGCCAAATCTTTTGTAAGGACTCAAAGCACTTTTACCGAGATATGAAGTGCCTAAAAAGACCAAGGCATGAGATGGTTAAAAAATTCATCTATGCGCGTTTATATGTTGACACCTTTCACATTCTAGCAAGCCATGACACTGGAACGGGGCAAGTACTTAGAAGTTTGGCTGGCCAACTAGAATTTTAACAACTTCATAGACAAAAAGAACAATGGATATATGTTAAAAACAAGAAAAGAACTTGGAAGAGGTGGGCTTAGTTATAGTTGTTTATTTGTATTAGGCCTAGGAGTGGGCACTATTAGGTTAAATTGAAAAAGCCGACAGAACCAAAGTTTCCGGTTTCATTTTTCGGTTTAAAGAGTAGAAAAGTTCAGTTAACCGGAAACCCCAAGTTATTTGTGAGCTGTTCCTTAAATTTTAGGCTTAAGTCATCAACCAGCCCCTTTAAGTTATCTGCATATTTCACTTAGACACTTCAACTAGGACTAGTACCTATCAAACACTCCAATCTTAAGAAATTTATACCCATTAAACACAAAATGTGAATCAGTCTACAGAATGTAACGAGTGTTTGATGTTATGATAAACCAACAAATAGAGCAATGATATATGTCATAAAGGCTCAAAATAATAATAAAATGATTTTTTAGTTTAATAAATAAAATAATGTTAGCCGTTAACCAAAAGAATTATCAGTCAAAAAAAAGAAAAAACTCATTTTCTAACTCCTGCCGACACCCTCCCCAACTAAACCACCTAACCCTTTTCCCCCTTTTTTTCTTCATCCCCTCATCATCGTCCCCCACATTCCTATTTGGAGCTCACATGTTTTTTCTTGTAAGAATAAATCATAAAAAATAATCTTTCATTCAGATTCAAGTGTTAAATAGAAATCGTGAACACAAAATAATGTTTCTTTTAGTACCAGATCACATGGATGGAGTTGGCGGTGATCAGGTGGTCCGGTGATGGAAGGAGAAGAAGAAAGTTGATTCATGAATCTTTTTCTTTTGCAAGGAATGAAACTCAATAAAATAGCAAAAAAAAATTCCCAGGAGAAAAAATTTAGAGAGAATTTTGGAAGGTAAACATGGGGGTGAAGAAGACAATGACCTGAGGGGGGTGGGGGTTGCTTTTTCTTTTTAATTAAGAAATCATTATTTTCTAAAAATGAATGAAAATTTGTTTTTAGTTATTTACTTAGTGCCAAGTATCAATAAAAGAACAAAAAAATGCAAGCTTTTTCAATGAAAAATAAACATTATTTGAGATTCTTTCACGCGCCCAACAAAAGTGAGAAACACGTTTTTGCCACATCAGAATTTTGTGTTTGATAGGTACACCTGTTGAATAATTTAGGTGTTCGATAAGTACTAGTCATAGTTGAGGTGTCTAAGTGAATTATGCAAACAACATTAAGGGGTTGTTGATGACTTAAGCCTAAATTTTAAATCCGCATTTGTTAGTCCATTCAATTAGCCTCCATTAGAGCACTATCAGTCAGAAGCGTACCATCGAAAGAACCAAAGATCTTCACGCTTCATCCACCACACGATCCATTTTACGCTAAAAGAATTCACCTCATCTCAGCTCACAACTTGTTTGATAAAACTCCCCACCAAAGCATTACTCCCTCCGTTTCAATTTGTTTCACCTACTTTCCTTTTTAGTCCAAATTCCAATCAAAAAGAATGACTCGTTCCCTTTTAAGCAACTCTTTAATTCCAACTTTCCACAAGGCATGTTTATAACCACAAGATTAAAAAGTATTTTGGTACATTTGACATGTCTTTAATTTACAACCACAAGATTTAAAAATCTCCTTTATTTTCTTAAACTCCGTCCCAAGTCAAAATAGGTCAAACAAATTGATACGGAGGGACTATAAATTTAATTCCAATCAAGTTGGACTTGGGCAAAGAGCAAGACTAGAAACATATAAGGGTTTTATCTGTTTCAAGGTTTTCTTATTTTATTTTGAAAAGGCACAACTGGAAATGTTCAAAATGAGGTAACCGGACAGAATTTCAGAAAATCAAACCAAACCGAATTAATTTTAGATCAATTTCCATTCACAATTTACAAACTGAAAACTGAACCAAACTATTCAAACTGAACCTACCGGACGCCCACCCCTAATTAGGCCCGTGTCATATAGAAGTTTTTATTCTGGTTAGAGACAATCATGTCTGTGGAAATATGAGCCTGAGGTTTAGAGAACTCCAAATTTGTCTTAGAAGGACAAAATATTTAGTAGATGAAATTGACATGAAAAAGTGAAATGGCTATAGAGGCTTCATTCAGGTGACCCCAACTAAACTGGAGCTGAGGCTTGATTAATAATAAATCAATATTGCTAAAGATAATACAATCAGTAGATGATATCTAGGTTGTCATCTAGATAGCAGATATCATCTGCTCTTTTTGGGTCTTACTCATGAAAAAAATATACTCGATGTGTTACTTTTTAATCTATTCCAAAAAGAATGACATACTTTTCCTTTTAAAAAGAATGGCACTATTCTATATTTGAAAACTCTTTAAATGTAAACTTCTCATTTCACCCTAATGAACAATGCGCCTATAGACAGAGAAATATCATGGCATGTCTACAACCACAGGTTCTAGTGGTACTTTTGGACTTTGGTGTGTGCCAAAAATTGTCTTTCTACCTTAAACTCCGCACCCTGTCAAATACTACTTCTATAGAATGAAACCGAGGAAGTAGAGTAGTAGATACCTAGATGACTAGTTAAATATATTATGCGCCCCTGCTACCCAGACCTGTTATTTTCCTTATATGCAACGACTGATGACGTAGGACATAGCTATTTGTATTAACTTAAGAAATTCATATGGTCCTCCAAAAGCCTCAACAGATACAAACCATGTCAAATACCACATTATAGGGACCATAAAACAGAATTTTGAACTGTAAGTACTGGACTACATACCTAGCAACATCTCATGGGAGGTAAGCGAAAATCGCCTCTTAGAACCTCCCAAGTAAAAAACCACATGATGTAGATACCTCTTCATGAAAACCAAAGAATTTCCACCAACTGGAACTTTAATTGCTTGATCATTATGGGATCACATTGACATTCAGTTCCTAATAGGAGAAAATAAACTTTTCCAAGTCTCAGAGTTTCTCCTCTGTCCAAGCTTACTCTCCTACACCACGTGAAAAACATAGTATCCCTAAATATAGGAACCAGACTGAGCTATCCACATTCAATTAAGAAAATTCACTAAACTAGGCAACAATACCAGCTTCCGAAACCAAGAAAGTTTCAAAATTTGCATCCCCAAATACAACTGCGCAGAACCAAACATCATGATCTATCAATGAAATCTCCCATCTCATTAGAACTATAATCAATCAACCAACCAACTACACCTCAATTCCAAACAAAGATGGGTCGATCCACGGAACTATAAACCCTAGAAAATTTAATCCAAAGCAAGAAAAGTAGCAATCTTTTTTTACATCTCACCATATTATGCAAGAATCAAAACCCTATAAGCAAATTACACAAATGCCATTTCATGTTATAATCACACAATAAGCAAAACCCCAAGTAACCCAATTGCATAAAATGAAAAAAAGGTCTGACCTTGATTGTGTTCTTATTGCGAAAGACAGAGTTGGAGGAGACAGGATGAGAGTAAAAGAAACGCCATGGCTTATACTTGCAGGCGATTAAGATTAAAAAAATGATCAAAAGGAGCATAACAATAATAATAAAGATGGCCTCTTTGGATAAGAGAATGTTGTTGCTGGTGGTTAGAGTGGTCATGGTGATACTGCTGCTATCATCATCAGCACCTGGCATCGCCTTCACCATCGGTGAACCGTGTGATGTATGATGATGAGAGAGAAGACAATTCAACAATCTAATCTCACTCTATTTCTATCAAAATCCAACCAACCCTTTCTCTCTCGGCCAAGCGAGGTTCTCGCTTTGAAATGGTCGCATTTACTATTTTTTTTTTCTCTCCCCTTTGTTTTCCCCCCCACCCCCTATTTGTGTAGGAAAACTGGTTTGAGTTCTTCTAACTATTGAAAAAAAATTAATGATTATCAGACATTTCATGATATGTATTCGTATTAGATGAGTTCTTTCTTTTTTAATTCGAAGTTTTATTTTGCTTTAACTAATATTTATGTTTTTATCTTTCATTGGATGAGACTTAAACTTATACATTCTACTTGACATAAAACAATCAGTTCGAGTATATATTTAACAAATTGCCATGTATAACGCGTGTGTCTATTTGTATAATTTTAGTGTCTACTTATGCATATTTAAAATTAGAGATAAGTTAAAGTCAAGTAAAAGAGCATATTTATGCAATATACTTTTAAAAATATCGATAAAAAATATTTGGTAGAAAACATTTTTCTTTGAGTAAGTTGTTATGATGTGAATTTAAATTAATTAGATTTTAATATTGGTGTCTATTATAGAATAGAAAATAAATAAACAATTACAGAGACGTATATTATTTTATTATAGCTTATAGTAGAAGTGAGAGTGATTTGGGGTTATACACATGGAACTGTCAATTGTCAACGATCTAAATCTGATAAGTGATAATGGACCTTACTTGGTAGATGGGATTTGCCTAAATTATATCCTATTACTTAATTATCTCACTTTTTATCTTAATCATAAAATTAGAGTATTTTTGTCAATGATCAATTGATCCTTATTTACGCAATAAATGTTCTTTTACCTAATTCCAATTTCATTAAATATTGACATAATGAATCAGTAAATAATAAGTGTATAGTAGGTATATGTTATTAAGAGCTAGGGTTATATACAAGTTAAGTGATCCAAAAACAAATGTGATATTTGATATTTGTGATAGTTTAAATCAACAAAAAAGGATACAAATCGGCTTAAATGATGCCTTTTAATGATTATAATATGTAATAGGGATTTTAATTCTAAAATTTAAATCTTCAATGTGTCAATCACACAAAAAAAAAAGAGTATTTGTACTCATGAATTTCATAAAAGTTATCAATATAATTGTTTGAATTATCAATTGATGCAGTTTGTTGGTTTTCTTTGACAATGAGATATAGGGGGTGAATTTTCCTTTGGGAAGCTTACCTAAATATACCATAATTATAAAATTTATCATTTATAGCTATATATAATTTTAGCACATGTATAATTTACTTTTAAAATATAGCGCTGATTTTTTTACTAAAACGAGTTTAATACATTTTAAGACACTTATAATATATTTATATTGCATGTAAAACTCACTTTTATATACAGTGTAATGTAATGTAATGTAATACATATATATTATATGCTTAATTCTTTTTTTTATACATAGTGCCTTATTTGGGGAAACTAAGCAAATACCCTATAAAAGTAAAATAATTACACTATATACTTCTAACTAATTTTGTTGAACTGATACTAAATCAGTATATATATATATATATATATTTAAGGTTTCTTGTTCAGAAATTACCCATTATGTATACTTTTGTGGTATCATTAAGATTTCTTGCTTAGAAATTACTCATTAGTCAATGATACTATAAGAGTGTGTGTGTGTGCGTGCGTGCGCGCGTGTGGTATCATTACCAAATGGTATCTCTAATAAATGATAATATGAAGAAAAGAAAAAAGATAAAAGAACAAAAGAGAAAATAAAAATAATTAATGAGAAAGAACAAGGTAATTTATTTTATTTTCTCAAAAATGTGAAAATATAGAAAGAGAGGAAAAATAAATAAAAAGAAGATAAACTAACAAAAAAAGTAGAAATAAAAAATTATTACCAAATGGTTTCTCTAATAAAGGATAAAATAAAATAAAAGAATAAAAGAGAAAATAAAAATAATAAATAAGAAAAGAATAAAAGAGAAAATAAAATAATAAATAATAAAAGAATAAAAGAGAAATAAAAATAATAAACAAGAAACGAATAAAAGAGAAAATAAAAATAATAAATAAGAAAAGAATAAAAGAGAAAATAAAAATAATAAATGTGAAAGAACAAAAGAAATTAAGGATAGGTCAAAAAGAACAAATGATAAAAAAGAATTGGGGGTATGTGCTGTAAATTTTTTTTCCAGAGAATGAGTATTTCTTGAATTACTTTGGATTAAAGTATGAACATGTAACTATTTTGTATTTTATGTCCCATTTATGAAGTTTCTCCATTTTTTAAATCAAAACAAGTCTAAACTTTTAATACATTTATAATATATATATATATTATTCACTTTTAATACATAACACAATAACTATAGAAGGTAAATATTTTTTAAATATGATATATCAAGGTAATAAACAAAAGTATATTTAAAAATAGTAAATATTTTATTAAAAACCCCTCAAAAAGTAATTATCCTTTTTCCTTATGCTGGAAATAATCAAGCCCATACAAAATGAGAAACCCATAGCCATTTGGTTTGGGTTCACCTGAAATTAGGTTGGACATCATCACATACATAAGTGTCTCTTTTGGGCTTCAAAATGAAAAAAAAAAATTAAGAAAAGAATCACCCCATATTTTTTAGGGAAAATGGTATGAAATAACAAACCATTAATTCAAATTAAATGTTATAGCCATAATTTATTTTATTTGTAATTCGCACCAAACATCCCATTTTTTTGCCATCTGATTCGGTATACAATTAGTCATTTTATACATTTCGGTATAAAATGTATAAAATGTGTTTGTGCTTGTATAAAGTGAGAGAAAAGTATATATACAAATACAAATACATATATTTTCGTCCTATACACTTATAATTATATAAATACAGATTTTATTATACAAATTACAATGTATAAATGAATTTATACAAAACTGAACAATTTGTATAAAATTTGATATATCGAGCAAATTATACAAGTCAAAAGCTCCATAGCAAACATAAAATTTGCTATGGAGCGCAATTATGCAAACTATAGTTATAACATACAAATATGATTTTTATGTTTGTAATATGTGAAAGTTACTCTATTTTTTATTGGGAAAATTATCTAACTACACATCATTTTTTTTCCTTATTTTCTACTATTTCAAAAAATTATAAAAATCCATTTTTTTTCTCAAATTCTCTCATTTCCAGATACATTACTTCCAATCTTCCAATTCGACGATTTTCTTCTTTTTTTTCACGCCTATAATCACTCCACTTAACCAATTACCTTTATCACTCTATTTTTGAATTTCAAATATTTTTTCTCTTTCCAGTTAATTAATTTCAAATTAATCAAGAGATTTTCTTCTTAGTTCATTTTTTTCTTTCCAGTTCATCATCATCGTCGTTTTTTTTTTAAAAAAAATAATTTGCTTTATCATCTACAAAATTTGGATTCATATAGATGATGCTCCACCTTTTAGTATTGGGATTACCCAATTAGTTTCAACTACTCAAGATAATGTATGTTGTATTTTTTATTTGTGATGATGAAGATTTTGTTGAAAATAGATCTAAATAAATAAAAGATTGATTATTCATGAAGAATCTGAAGTTTGAGAAGTCAAAATCGAAGAAGGATTTTGACTTCTAAATCTATTGTGAAAAAACACTAAAAAAAGGGGGGAAAGTCGGATCTGTCTCATCACGTCCGTCTCTATCAACGGCACAAGTTTTCAATGTATCTCGTTTATTTTGATTCTTAAAAGCAAAAGTTGTTTATGTATCAAACAATCCATTATTCATGAAAAAATCATAGATTAGAGAAGTCAAAGTCGAAGAAGGATGTATCTTAGGCCTCTAAATCAATTGTGGAAAAAAGGTCCAAAAAAAGAAAATAATATTGGATCTTGATTATAACGCTCATCGTTACCAAATGTGCATAGTCTCAATGTATCTATTTTATTTTGTTTCATAATTTAGCTTTCTCATACAGTGACTATGTATATGCAATGTATCATGTTTATACTGATTATACTTATATATAACCTAATGTTGTTCATACTTCGACTAGTGAGTTTTATGCAATGTATCATGTTTATATTTATTATACTGATACATAACCTAATGTTGCTAATAATTCGACTTGTGATTTTTATGTAATGTATCATATTTATATTTGTTATACTGATACATAACCTAATGTTGCTGATAATTCGACTAGTGGGTTTCATGTTCAATTCAAACGTTCTTGATACGTAAGTAATGCATAATATATATATATATATATATCATTTGCCATATATCAAGCTCTATAATGTATCGGTAATATTTTCCAATCCCATCAAGTGGTTTTCAATTTGTTTTCCTTCGTACAAGATATACAATTTGGTTGTACAAGATGTGCAATTTTTCATTCACATGTATCTGATACACATTAATGGCCGTGATACATTTATACAAATTACTGCTAAATAATCATTCTTTTGCAATGTACATTCATACAAACTAACACTACATGTATCTGATACTTAATATCTATCATGCATTTATGTTGTTGATATAAGATCAAACACTTTACAAGTAATATTTACTTCTCTAGTGTATCTATAGGATTGCAATACTTAGCAATTTACTAAATATTTTAGGAATAATAATGTATCATGAGTAATATATCTATCTCGAAAAAAAAACTAATAAAACTTTGGTCATGGTACATTCATACAAATTAACATTACATGTATCTAATACGTAATGACTATCACACGGTAATGTATCGGTCTAAAACCAAACACCTTATGAAAAATCTTTACTATTTTAATGTATCATGTAGGATTATAATACTTAACAATTTACTAAATATTTTAAAAATAGCAATGTATCATGAGTAATATATACATCTCAAGATCATAAATCAACTACACAACATTTCTTCATTTTTTTGTGTGTTGTATCAATGCATAGTAGACACATTGCAAATTCCGGCTCATATTTCTTCACCTCCAAGTACAAAGTACTAAAGATATTCATGATGTATCTTCTCAAAAGTTTCGATAATTTTGAATCAAATTTGAAAGGATCTTCGATGAATTGAGAGAAGAATTTTGAATC